TTTTAACATCATGATTAAATGAATGATAATAAACATATAAATTTGTTCCTATATAGTAGAAACCATGTAGCACTGAAATATTCATCTTCAATAGAAGTGTGTTGCACTACAGGCTACTCTTTCCTTTTCCTTATAACTCCCACCCCTTTCTCTTATACAGTGGTACCTTGGGTTAAGTACTTAATTCGTTTCGGAGGTCCGTTCTTAACCTGAAACTGTTCTTAACCTGAAGCACCACTTTAGCTAATGGGGCCTCCTGCTGCTGCCGCGCCGCTGGAGCATGATTTCTGTTCTCATCCTGAAGCCAAGTTCTTAACCTGAAGCACTATTTCTGGGTTTGCAGAGTCTGTGACCTGAAGCATATGTAACCAGAGGTAGCACTGTAAATGGATGAAGGGGTGGGGCAATGACATCATTTTAAGCAGGGGTCAGCAAACTTTTTCAGCAGGGGGCTGGTCCACCGTCCCTCAGACCTTGTGGGGGGCCAGACTATATTTTGAAGGGAAAAAAATGAATGAATTCCTGTGCCCCACAAATAACCCAGAGACGCATTTTAAATAAAAGCACACATTCTACTCATGTAAAAACACGCTGATTACCGGACCATTTGCGGGCCGGATTTAGAAGGCGATTGGGCTGGATCTGGCCCCCGGGTCTTAGTTTGCCTACCCATGATGGTCAGGGGTCCCTTTACCTTTAAGGATGCAGCAGAAAAGCCTGACTAAGGCCACAAATACACCTAACCAGTTGCAGGGAGGTGGTAAAGGCATGAATGCTGGCCAGAAGAAACTATGCGCCCCAGACCCCACCCTGTCTCACCTATGGAGAAAACTGGAGAGAGAAAAACTTGGCTAGCCGCCACAAACAGAAGAGAAGTGAACACCCACTGATTCGGGAATCTATTGCTTGCCTGTCGCCTTCATTTAGCTTTAGGCACCAGGCAAAGATTTTCCTTTTTAACCTTTAACTCTCAGTGGCCTTTTAGGAGTGGATGGGATGTTTTTAATGCACTGCAAGGGGTTGTGTTTCCCAACCTTGTGCCTCCAGCTGTTTTTGAACTACAACTCCCATCATCCCTGACTAGCAAGACCAGTGGCAAGGGATGATGGGAATTGTAGGCCAAAAACAGCTGGAGGCACAAGGTTGGGAATTAGATGACCCTCGGGGGGGTCCCTTCCCAAACTCTACAATCCTATGGTTAATGCACTTCCCACCCCCCAACCCCTGGGTTTTAATGTTGGTTTGTTTTGTTGCCCTGGGCGAGATAAAGCGGCTAACAAAAGTTATAAATATTAATCTATTATTTATTTCTTCAGTTTACATACCGCCCTATACCCGAAGGTCTCAGGGCGATTCACAGAACAAAATCAGAATACACAAACCCAAAATAATCAAAATTAAAAACAACAACCCAGTAACAACCCACCCAAAAAAAGAAACACGTTTAGAAACCAGAGGCCTTTCTCCTGGGCATCGTCGGCCAATTGGTGCCAAAGAAGGATAGAACTTTTTTTATGTATGCTACAGCAGCAGCAAGAATACTTATCGCAAAGCATTGGAAGACGCAAGAACTACCCACCTTGGAAGAATGGCAGACGCAAGTAATAGATTATATGGAACTGGCAGAAATGACCGGCAGAATCAGAGATCAAGGAGAAGAGCAGGTGGAAGAGGACTGGAAGAAGTTCAAAGTTTATCTACAAAAATACTGTAAAATTTATGAATGCTGAGGGCTCTGAAAATGAAATGAAGGGGTTCTAGCGATTAAGATAAACAAGATTATTAAGGGAGTGATAAATGATTAATATAAATAATGAATGATCTTGCTGAACTAATTCTTAAAGTGGATACAAGAAGGGAAGGCGGGTGGAAGCAAAGAGAGTAAGGTTTTGAAGGTTATCAATATGAAAGAGAGATTTTTTATGTTAATTTTTTCTTTTACATTCTTCTTTTCTGTTGTTTTTTTGTTTGGATTTCTGATGTCTGTGGTTTGTTTTTGTGATTTTTGTTGATTTTCGTTGGTTGTTAATTTTCTGAAAAAATCTAATAAAATATTATTTAAAAAAAGAAACACGTTTTGAAATAAATAAAATAGCCGCCGTTTGACCGACGCTGCCTCATGAAGCGAGTCCCTGGTTTTAATTTAGGGAAACACCGCTGGGCCCCGGACCTTCTTTTAAAAACTGGGCGAAATTCCGAGTCTTCAACACACACACAACACCCGCAAGTCGCCCTTCCCATTTCACAAGCTTTCCCCGTCCGGTCAGATAACTCTCTTTTTCAAGCCACGTTGCCTAACTGCGCCCCGAAGGGAATTTCCCCCCGCCGGCTACCTGGACGCTGTTAGCCTTCTCTCGCCGCCGCCCCCCCCCAAAAAAAACCCCCATTTAAAGATATACCTCAAGACAAACGCCAAACCCCGTTTCGCTCTCTCCCCTCACGCCTATGTCCCCTCAGTCAGTCGTCACGCGCGCGCTCTCTCTCGCTCTTCCTCTAACCGTCTCTCTGGCCCCTTTTCGCGCCTTCTTTCAGAACCGTCCCCTAGGCAAACTGTTCGCCAACCAATCATCTCCTCGCTTCCGCATCCGTCGCGATCACGTGAACCACAACGCCACTCTCCCCCCCCACCCCCCATTGGCCGCGCGGGGAATGACAGCGGAGGGAATCGCGCTGTGTTTCACCTCAATTTCTGAGCAACGTTTAAGGGAGGCTGAGCTGCTTTATCGGCTCAGTGTTGTCCACACCAGGGGTCAGCAAACTTTTCCAGCAGGGGGCCGGTCCACTGTCCCTCAGACCTTGTGGGGGGCCGGACTGTATTTTGGGAGGGGAAATTGAACAAATTCTTATGCCCCACAAATAACTCAGAGATGCATTTTAAATAAAAGGGCACATTCTACTTATGTAAAAACACGCTGATTCCCGGACCGTCTGCGGGCGGATTTAGAAGGCAATTGGGCTGGATCCGGCCCCCAGGCCTTAGTTTGCCTACCCATGGTCTACACTGACTGGCATCCGCTCTCTCAGCAGTATCCCTGCCAAGAAAACTCCATGGACAAAGACAACAGGCATATTTATTAGTAAAGGTAAAGGTACCCCTGCCCGTACGGGCCAGTCTTGACAGACTCTAGGGTTGTGCGCCCATCTCACTTAAGAGGCCGGGGGCCAGCGCTGTCCGGAGACACTTCCGGGTCACGTGGCCAGTGTGACAAAGCTGCATCTGGCGAGCCAGAGCCGCACACGGAAACACCGTTTACCTTCCCGCCAGTAAGCGGTCCCTATTTATCTACTTGCACTTTGACATGCTTTCGAACTGCTAGGTTGGCAGGCGCTGGGACCGAGCAACGGGAGCGCACCCCGTCGTGGGGATTCGAACCGCCGACCTTTGGATCGGCAAGCCCTAGGCGCTGAGGCTTTTACCCACAGCGCCACCCGCGTCCCTTATATTTATTATTACTTATTATTATTAATGTTTACGATTTGAATGGAGGCTGCGAGCTTTCCTCCCCCCCCCCAAAAAAAGCGGAAAAATGATTTCTGGTTTTTTTTCTGACTCAGGCCTTATTTCATGTGGCAGGAGTGGGGGAAAGGTAGGCGGTTCACCCCTATTAATTCTTCGTCCACCTTCGGGGTATTAAGTTTTAAGAGGATGAGAGGAACAAGCTGTCACTTCCGGCTCTTTGGGCAAGACTACAACTCCCATGAGGGACGCGGGTGGCGCTGTGGGTAAAACCTCAGCGCCTAGGACTTGCCGATCGCATGGTCGGCGGTTCGAATCCCCGCGGCGGGGTGCGCTCCCGTCGTTCGGTCCCAGCGCCTGCCAACCTAGCAGTTCGAAAGCACCTCCGGGTGCAAGTAGATAAATAGGGACCGCTTACCAGCGGGAAGGTAAACGGCGTTCCGTGTGCTGCGCTGGCTCGCCAGATACAGCTTGTTACGCTGGCCACGTGACCCGGAAGTGTTTGCGGACAGCGCTGGCTCCCGGCCTATAGAGTGAGATGAGCGCACAACCCTAGTGTCTGGCAAGACTGGCCCGTACGGGCAGGGGTACCTTTACCTTTACAACTCCCATGATGCCCTTCCCTCATTGTTGGGACGAGAAATAGACGCCTCCCTTGTAGAAGCGTTGCATTGGAAGGGATCCTGTGGGTCATCTAGTCCAACCCGCTTTAATGCAGTAACATAACCCACTTGTTGGTATTGTCTGCCCGTTCTTTATTGTTTCTGTCTGTATAGCCTGCCTTAGTTGAACTACGAAAAGGAAAGGAAACTCCAGTGAAAACACTGCGGAAGTTGGGGTGGGAAGTCAATTTCTTTCTGAAGGAGCGTCTCCACCTCCATCGTTCTGCCCGGACACTGAGGTCCAGCGCCGAGGGCCTCCTGGCGGTTCCCTCACTGCGAGAAGCCAAGTTACAGGGAACCAGGCAGAGGGCCTTCTCGGTAGTGGCACCCGTCCTGTGGAACGCCCTCCCATCAGATGTCAAAGAGAAAAATAACTTTTAGAAGACACCTGAAGGCAGCCCTGTTTAGGGAAGCTTTTCATGTTTAATAGGTTATTGTATGGGTGGGGTATAAATAATAAATTATTATTATTATAAAATTAATAACAACAACAATAACTATTATATTGTTATATTATAATAATTAATGCAAATAATAATTAAATAATTAACAATATTTATTGTTGTTGCTATTAGCCCCGCCTTCTTCCCCAAGGGTTCCAGGCCGCTTTCACGTCACTCCCCGGAAACGCGCTTGAAGGCGCGCGGGCGGGGGAGAAAGATGGCATCTTCCCTCCCAAACCCGGAAATGCCTTCTCGGGGCGATCGAATGCGTCACGCCCACTTGTGTCGCCGCTGTTGTGGTTCCCAGGCCCTTCCCCTGCCCACCGACCCCGCCTACCGGAGCCGCCCAATGGAATGAAGAGAGCGGCGTGAGCGGCGCTCGGCGGCGTCCAATCACCTCCCGGCAGCCGCTGTTGCGAGGGCCCCAGACTCGGGTGGAGCCGCCATGTTTTCCCCTCGCGTCACAGCGCGGGGCGGGCGCGAGGAGGTGCGAAGAGAAGGGGCCGCCGGAGCGTTCGCTGCCGAGACAGCTGCGGGCGGGAGCAGCTCCCAGGGGACCCGGCGGCGCGACGGTAAGGGCCGCTCTGTCCTGAGGCGGCGGCGCGACTCGGAGGAGGCAGGGTCGCTTCGGTGGGCTGGGGACTGCGGAGGGGAGAGAAGTATATCCTTCCCCCCCCTTCTGTAAACAACAACAACCACCACACTATTGTCTATGTGGTTATAATGGGGTTAGTTTCTCTCTCGTGCCCTGTACAAAAAATGTCTCTGAGGCGACGGTGGGGTGGGGGTGGGGGACCCAAGTTGCTTCCCTGCCTTCATTTCTGCACCCTTTTAAATTTGTTGTTGTGTGGGGGGGGGTTATTTTGTGTTTTTATTCTGTGTTTCGATATCGTGTTTTTATTCTGTGAACCACCCCGAGATCTACGGATGAAGGGCAGTATACGAATTTAGATATTATTATTATTAATAATAATAATAAAATTTCACAGCTGGGTGAGTAGCCTAGCATCGCCTCGCCTGCTGCCTGCCAACCTATTTCAAATGCAGCCCAGAAACACCATGGAAGCCCAAAGGGATGTTTAGTGGTGGTAGGAGATATATATATATGTGTGTGTGTGTGTGTAATGTATGTATATATATGCCTATATATATATGAATATATATATATATATATATATTCATATACATACATATACATGTGTGTTTATGTATGTGTGTGTGTGTATATATATATATGTATATACACACACACACACACACACACACACACACAAAGAAATATCTCCCATTTGCTAATACGTGGCTAATGCTGCTTGATCCCAATGCCTCCGAGCTCTTCTTGTCTTCTTGGTCTTGGAGTTTTCTCCCATCAGGCAAGTATGGTGTGTGGCAGTTGCGGCCTTTAAACTCAAGGTTGTTGGTGCTGTTTTGGCTTCAGGGCAATCTCTCGCCAAGACAGGCAACTAGGTCAGATGGATAGCCGAGTTTCCGGTATGCACCCTGTAAGAATGCAATTTCCTGTGCCCAGGGATTTACTCCCAAGATGGTTCCCCCTCGGGAATCTTTGTAGTGTTCCAGTTAAAACATAATCTGTACCTGCCTTGTTGTATCTGTAGTTCAGCTATTGCAGGACTTCTCCCCACCCCTTTTATCTCAGCTGTGTCATTTGTTAAACAGGTTGGGCTTCAGTCTGTGGGTCATATAACCTGTAACTGGGTTGTGTATGAACTAAGTAGTACAGTCTGTGCTCAACAGGGTTGAGGGGAGGGCAAAGGAGAGATCAATGCCATTGTCGAAACAGAAGATATGAAGAGAAAAACAATAGCAAGAACGTCAACAGAGGTAGATGTACATAAATCTCAATGAGATCTGGTGTTAGAAAGTGTTTAAATAGTGGGTTGGTGGCTGAAGTAAAAGGCATTTCTGATCTTGGAAACGGTTGGCATAACACGTTAGTATTTTACAAAATGTTCATTATTTGCATTAGCAAGACACAGCACTTGTTGTTGAAATCCCTGTTTTTCAGTTGTCATTAATCTGAATTTCTTAAAAGTGTAGTTGGATTTGTTTATATTTAAATAAGATGAGGTACTGGGTGGACATGATTACAGGAGTAAGAAATGTTAGTGGGTGGTGTTTAGTAAACTACTGTATATGGTCTAGTTTGTTTATGACGTTAGGAAAATTAGAGTCAGGTGACTGGAAGCACTAAATCATGCAAACAGCTGTTGAGAGATTATCTAGAATGAATCTGGGCGGTGTCTGTAAAAAGAGAAAATAATTTGAGTGAGTGCAATATCTAAATATTGGGCTGTTTAAAACCAAATAGCTTGGTGTAAAACCAGCTTTTTCTCTTGATAGCCTCACTTGAGACAAAATAGATGTGCTATTTTATTATTTTTCAAAAGTTATTTACAAGTAAATCGGCCCAGTCAAAGTTCACTGTTGTAATATTAAAAGAGAAGCTGCGAGCAGGTACAAAGTGTTATTGCCTAAGCACTGGGGAATTATGGTGCTTGGCTGGCTGGCAGGGGGGACAGGGCGGAACAGGGAGGGCTTCAGGAGCAGTAAGAAAAACATTCAAGTAAACCAGAGCCACAGCACCTCTTTTTCTGGAGGTGGTTGCATTCACTTCAAAGCATCCGAGCTGTTTAGATTTTAATTGCTTTCGTTTTCTTTCCATAGTCCTGCGGCATGGATCCACAGGTAAATCTCAGTGTGACCTTCCAAGGTGACACACAGAGCTTCCTTGTGTCAGATTCATCTAATACCACATGGGCTGATGTGGAAGCCATGGTGAGTTGGATCTTTGATGGTTGAAATGCACTGAACAACATAGGAAAAAAAGTAGATGAATTTTCAAAATTTATATATAGAATGAAAGTTAACTCTGGTTATCAGACTTCCACATTTTTGCTTGCCATGATTAGGGCTGGATGATTATATCGATATAGCATCCAAAACTGGTTTTGAAATCCATATCATTATATTGGGTTCATATTTTTGACCTGGCAATATATTGCAAATCATGTTGTGTGTGTCTGCTATGCAAAATTAAGTGGGGGAAAACTGTGAACCTAGCCAATGCTTCTACATGGCTCCATCCTTATTTTAGACATTGTGATATATTGGTATATCATTATGTTTAGCTGGTGATATATAGTGATATTGAAAACCAGATATCACCCACCCCTAGCCATGATAAGCTTGCCACTGCCTTCTGGCAAGCATGATATAAACCCCAGCCCTTCTTCCCAGTTAGGAAGAGGTGAGTGAGAATTGTCTGGCTCTTGCACAGTGATTCCCACCCCTTACCAACTCTTGAGATAGGAAAGAATACTAAAGGCTGTTTGGCTGCTGCCCTGCTGACATGGCTGAAGTGCCTCAGCCACACAGTGGCCAACCCAGCAACCCCTCATCAAAACTTTCCCATTTCAAACCTAACGTAGCAGATTGTCCCTGACCTTGTGTGGAGACACAGTGCCAGATCAGTGACAAGGAAGGGACAACCACCACTTTCGGCTTGCTTACCAAGGTTTGCCAAAGATGGTGAGTCGCTGGTGATGATAGCCATAAATGTAAGTTGAGTTCCCATTTAACTTTCTGAATGTCATTTGTGTTCTGTTGGCTCCATGGGAGCAAACAAATGAGGCCTGGCACACAGGAACTTGGTAGGAACTTCATGAGGAGCTAGATGGGGACTGAGCTACAATCCAACAAGATGGACTTTTATTTGAAGGGAGAACCTGCTAGGAAGCAGAGCTGATTACTCAGATGTGCTTGAAATACAGTGGTACCTTGGTTTAAGAACAGCTTAGTTTATGAACAACTTGGGTTAAGAACGCTGCAAACCCGGAAGTAGGTGTTTTGGTTTGTGAACTTTGCCTTGGAAGCAGAACATGTTCCACTTCCTGTTGAGTGTGTTCCATTTGTAAATTGAGTCCCCCGCTGCTATGGGAAAGCACGCCTTGGTTTAAGAACGGACTTCCGGAACGGATTAAGTTCGTAAACCAAAGTACCACTGTAGATCAGCACCTAGTCCTGAAAGTGGCAGGAAGTGCACAGATCTCTGCAGTTCTGCTGCTGAAAGAGAAGTCTGGCTGAATGCAAATCCAGTGTTGCTGTCTGCCACAAAGTAAAAGAAATGCCCACTTACTCTGCCTCTTGGCCGAGGGATAGTTTGGCTGGATTTTATCGTGAGCTTGCTTTGCCCTTTGTACACAGGTGTTTACCTTGCTTGTACACTACTGGCTTGCAGTGAGTGGAGCATTACATGATTGGTGCAAGGTACATTTTCTCTGGAGAGTCTGGCAAATATTTTTGGAATATAACTTAGTCCTCAGATTCTCTGGAATTTCATACTGGCACTCTTGAGAATCTGTTATTATTTCTATTGCCTTGCTTGTAGCCCTAATGGCCGCAAGGAAAGGCTTAAAAACATGTGAGCAGCATCTGATGAAATCCTGGGCACTGGGGGCAGGGAGGATGGGCTGCTAAGCAAACTGTCCAGTGGTCAGCTCGGCCTCTTTCTCCTGTCGCCTGCAGAAGCTCCGTCCGGGCAGCCAAGCTGGCTGGCGCTGCCTCTGCCATGCAGCCCTGCACCACAGCGGGCGGCTGCAGCGACACGCCTCCTTCACACACCTTTGCTTGGTTACTTACCCCGATATCATTAATATTATTAGTATTATTATTAGTGTTTGTATTGTTTTGTGCCCCCAGAAGCTGAGCGCGCACGTGGAGGTAGATGGTGGAAGGACAAAAATCCTCTTCCCTCTCTTTCTCTCTGCTTTCCCACCAACATTTCTCCTCTTGTTCTCCCTCCAAGTCAGGCCATTGGGGAAATAGTTATAATAATAATAATCTTCCTCCCGCCACCGCTGCCCTGGTGCCCCTGTGGGCCAGAGAGCAGAGGAGACAAGTTCGCTCTGCCCACCCGCTTCATGAAAAGCGGTAGCGGCAGCTCTTTGTCTAGGCAGGGAGGAAGCCTGTTTCGCGCCACCGCTGCCAGCCCTTCGGCAAATGAGGCAGGCAGCAAACCGAGAAGGGGTGGGGGCGGGGAGGAGGACTACTTGCCCCCCTCGCCTCTTCTTCCAGTCCCCCCCCCCCGAGCTGCTTCTCTGGAGCCGCCATCGGCCGTTCTCTGCATATTGAACTTGCTGCCCTTTTCTCCGTGGGGTGATTGTGGGTCTGTGTGGTGTGTTTTGGAGTGTGGCTGAAGGATGAGCAGCTTGGTGGTGTGTGAGCTTGTTTGTTGAGGAGCCTTCCCCCCCCCCCGCTTTAATGCACACTATTTTTTATTTTATTTCGCCTGCCCTTGCCCCGCCCCATTCTTCCCAGTGTGCATAGGAATTCATTCACCCTCCCCCCAAAATATAGTCTGACCCCCCCCCACAAGGTCTGAGGGACAGTGGACCGGCCTCCTGCTGGAAAAGTTTGCTGACCCCAGGCATAGCAACCTAGTTCACTGCACCTCCATTCTCTTGCAGGTGAAAGTCTCATTTGAACTGAATGATATCCAGATCAAGTACCTAGATGAGGATCAAGACGAGGTACATTATTTCCGTAGTTCCTGTGCAGGGTCTGTTTTAAATGTGAAAGTTTGGGGAGGAAGGTTTACGGAGTCTGACACCGTCAATTCCCTATAAAGAAACTTGCATCTCTTACAAAATAGCTTCCTTTCTCAATCAGTGAACGCTTGTTCTGTATTGAGTAATATTTAGTCTTTGGGTTGTCTCGATCTTGAAGCCTGTTTTAACAGAATGGGAATTCATAGGAGTCTGAGAATATCCTGAAATAAAATCTGCCTACAACAGGAATGGGGAAGATGTAGCTCTCCAGATGCAGTTGAACCACAACGCTCCTTCAGCCCTAGAACATAATGTCCAGTGGTTGGGGATGATGAGAGTTGTAGTCTTAAAACATCTGCTGTGATATTCCTGTTGCATAAGGTGTAGTGGCTCTTTTCCACTGTATGACGTTTTCTGTCTACATTGGATCAGTTGCACGTCACAAACTGAACACCACCCTCTAATGCCAGTAGGCCTGGTCTTGCTTATCCCAGGAGAAGGGAGATAAGTTATTCATTTTTACTAGAAGTCAGTCTTTCTGTGTTCAGTACATTTTGGTACCTGCCTCTCCACATTTCTCCATTGCTGAGAACCGACATGCTAAGATTCCAAAATGAGGAAATCTTGCTGGGCTGAGGAGAGGCTGGGTCTCCTATTGTAACTTATTAGGCTAATTGGTGTCATTGTCATTGTGTAGAGAACTTCAGAACAAGGGACGCGGGTGGCGCTGTGGGTTAAAGCTTCAGTGCCTAGGACTTGCTGATCGAAAGGTCGGCGGTTCGAATCCCCGCGGCGGGGTGCGCTCCCGTTGCTCGGTCCCAGCGCCTGCCAACCTAGCAGTTCGAAAGCACCCCCAGGTGCAAGTAGATAAATAGGGACCGCTTACTAGCGGGAAGGTAAACGGCGTTCCGTGTGTGCTGCTGGCTGGCCAGATGCAGCTTGTCACGCTGGCCACGTGACCCAGAAGTGTCTGCGGACAGCGCTGGCCCCCGGCCTATAGAGTGAGATGGGCGCACAACCCTAGAGTCTGTCAAGACTGGCCCGTATGGGCAGGGGTACCTTTACCTTTAGAGAACTTCAGAAGTGAAGTCTGTAACAGTCCTGCCCTAGAAGAGTGTCGTGGATTATGAAAAGCTTTTATGTGTTGTGTTAGTGGGAGATTTGCAGCGTATAAAACTTGAATAAAGTCTGTCTGGTGTGTATCTGTTGCCCTGGGTTCAATCTCCTGAATCATAGCCTGGGTGGAGTTGCTGGGCTGGACAATGCCTTAAAACTATGAACCTACTTTGTGGGGTGGTAAGAAGGGAAGCAAGCTAATGATATGAAGGAGAGTGGCTAGAAACAATGGGAGTGGTGACAGAAGCCAGGCAACTGCTCTGAAATCCTGGATGAGAAATCCCCTTTTAATTTTAAGGTGGTGAATGTGACCAGCAACAGGGAATAAGCCTTCATTTGTGCTTGTTTTCTTTTCACAGGTGTCTGTCAATACCGCAGGTGAGTTTCTGTTGCTCACTTGTAACATCTGATGAGGATTATCAGCTGCATTTCTCTGAGTAAAACCTGCATTTTTATATCCTGTAGGGGGAAATTTGGGTACAAATAGTATTGCACTTTTTATGCACAGGAGAATATGCCTCACTTTCACCACATAAAGAAGTCTGCATTTAGTGAAGTTATAGGGTTTTCCTCGCAGTTCTCCTGTACAGATAGGAAGTAGACTTTCTCACTGCAGTGTTCCTGGTTCCCTTTATGTAATTATACTTGAGACTAGCAGCCAAAGATTTAACTGGCTCGCTCAAATTAAAATGTCATACAGTTCCTGCTCTACCACTTTGGGCTCTCCACACAGCCTTTTTTTCCTACACCCTAACTTGATGACTTTGCATTTCTGACTCCACTCCACTCATACAAAAGAGTTGCTTCCTTTCTGTTCAATGACATCACAGCAGCACAGCCAATAGCAAATGAGAGCAGGACTTGCAGGCAATAGGCAAGTGTCAGGCTTTTTTGTTTAGTCTCTTAGCATCCTATAACATTTTTTATGCCCTTGTGAGTCAGTTAGGCTCAAGTATTTACACTGTTCAAGGTCTGAGAGTGCCAAATGCTTGGCTTTTAATAAACATTAGAATTGAATTAGAGCTGGAGACCGGAAATGGCCAGACCCAAGTATGTATGAGCAATAGTGGGAGGTGTGACGTACTCGCTTATAAGCACCAGTAGTTAGCATAGGTAAACACTAATTAAATTAGGCAGATTTATGAAGTTGGCTAGGATTACTGTCCTAATACACAATCAACAAGTGTTAATTGAAACGTCTAATTCTACCGGCTGCCAGTTTAAAGCATCGAAAAGTATATTGTTGCTGCTGCTGCTATGGAATAACCTGGCATGTTTTGCTGCTGCTGGTGCTGCGAACTTCCTCCATTGTAGACTCCAGCTCGTATATATGCGTAAACAAACCATGTATCATAAAGACACCACAGACTGCTCTATGTCTTATTCCCAAAAGGAAACATGGACCCTGGTTAAGCTCCTGGAACCCCCGAAGTCTCATGCGTCGTTTGGCAGAAATAGGGGTGGCATGTAATAATATATATTTGGGCCTCACTGACTTAGAGGCTGTAAAACCCGAATACTTCCCAAACTGGAGGAAAGCTGAAATTTGATGTACTCACAAAATCCAGGACACTGCAGTGGTTATTTTCTTTTCAAGTTGGAAACTTTTTTGCATATAAGATTTGAAACTCAGGACATGGGTTGTGCTTTCATTGATAGCAGTCAGCATTAAATAAGTCCCTAAGTTCATGCATTGCAGAATGAATGTAGGAATTTCCCTTTCACATCCTTGAATGGGCCTTGAATTGGGGGGAAAGGGGGTTTAACCCAGCGGCCAGAAGGAGGCCTAGTGAGTAGCGTACAATACATTCACATAGCATAGGATTAATGTAGATGTTGATTTATAAAATGTCCAAATGTGACTTTTATTGCAAGTCTGAATACGACAGAGCTCACCATGGCTTTCTCTCTCTTTACAGAGGAATACGAAGAAGCTCTTAAGGTAACGGATGTGATCAGCATTTATGGCTATTTTTGAAACAGCACAGCTACAAAATCCTGGGCATTCTTTGGTGTGGGAAGAATCTGTGGAAATCTCTTCTTTCCACATTTCTCAGGGTTGTCAGATTTTGCTAGTGGTTCTCTTAACACCCTGTGCCTTAAGCTCATTGGGAGTGATGTTGTTATCTCTCGGTTGTAGGAGCATTGCTCCCACATAAATTTCATATCCGAAGCAGAATGGAGGTGGGGGCAAAGTCTGAAGGCCTCCCTCACTGGTATGTCTTGCTTGTGACACACTCTTGCTGCTGTCAAAAAGAATTTAAATATTTTTCTAGCCAAAGCTTAGTGTAATGCTAATAGGCCTACCTTGCATGAAATCTGCAGGAGATGGGGCAAGACCCAGCGTGACATCCAGTGCACTCATTTTTTTGGCACAATGATTTCTGTTTGCACCAACAAATTTAGCAAAGGAGGAGGTGGAGGGGACATTCTGTTGTACAGCCAAAAGTCATTGCACTGAAGGTTGCATATAACCCCTCCCCCCCAATTTTGTAGCTCAAGTATTTGCTCTGTGTCTGTCATGGTAAGCCTCGCAGGACTGTTCCTGTAATATTAAGCATACTTGAGAAGATGGTGCTTGAGTCATGATGTTACTTGTACTTCAGTGTAGGTAAAAACGGCTACACTTAACACACACTGGTGCATTCCAGGGTGCTGTAAAGTTCTTGCGAATCCACACTACACTTTCGTGGTCACTTGTCTGTGCACTGATCTCCTCTTAGCTGGACTGCTGTAACTCCACTCCCAGTTTGCTCAGGACACATCCGCTAAGCTCCTCTTTTTCTCATATAACTCTGATCACATCACCTTTCCCAACATTCTTATGCGGGTTGCCTGTCATGCTTCAAGGTTGAAAGCCTCTCTCTTACCTATAGCACTTGGATTTGCATTGAAGCAATTTTTTTGTGGGTGGGTGTTTTACCCTCCAGGCCACCCTGTGTGAGAGATCCTTTTTACTGTTTCCATTTTACAGGCTGGCAGAATTAAAGCTGAGAAAAGTGAATTGGCCAAGGCAATGTGCATCATGGCAGAATTGTTGGCTTGTCAATTTGCCCCATAAAGAGTCTTGTGGGCGCGCTGTCTGAATTTTGCCTTTCTCTTCTAGAAGTTAACCTTAGTTTGATCCTGGCCCCCGCTTTTGATGGCTATTTTTCATTTCCTGACACTGTTCCTAGGGTTCATTTCTACATGTTTACCATGCCAGCTACCTTTGGAAACAAACCAAGGTGGCATTCCTCAGCCTCAGATTCAGAACTTCTTGTTTGCTCTGTTTCTCAGTTTGTGTGCTTGTGCGTTTTATTCTAACTCCAAACAGCTGTGTTTCCCCTGAACAATAAGATTGACTGATTCAAGGTTCGCATGTGATTTTCATTTTTGGCTTTGCCTCTTTAAGAAAGCCCTGCGCAGGATTCATGGGGGAGTGTGAGTGCATGTACAAGTATAGTTATTGCAAGCTCTTTCTTTAGATTGCAGTGAAACAAGGCAATCGGCTACAGATGAATGTTTATCAAATAAGCGCTCCTCTGGGCATGCCTACACAGCAAGCCCCCAAGAACGCTGAGAGAACCCAGAGCCCCAGAGATGGGAGGAAGCCCCTTGCCCACTATTCCATGCTTGCTCGGACCTTGGCTCAGGACAGAGATACTGGAAGAGAGAATGAGAGGAGACAGGTAGGAACAAAAGATGTGTGTCCCTTGGGCCCCTGGAGCCATCCTGTTTACCTGATGCGCTAGAAGCATATCAACATGTTATGCGCTTCCAACAGATAGTTATAACACAGCTCCACATTACACCCTCGCCAGCAGTGGCAAGCAGCTATTCTGCTTTCTGTAAACTCAAAGCTGCGCTGTTGAGAAGCAGTGGGAGATGCTTGCTTGCCTCTGGCTTTTCCACGGCTAAGGCAACTGAACACACGAGACAGATGCTCAGGAACTGCTCTCCACAAGTAGAAAGGTGCTGCTTACATTCTGCTTGGCCAGAAGAACGAAACTCCTGTTCCTAGCGGGAAGTTGGTGTTCATCTTTCTTTTGGAGGAAAAACACTGTGTCCTGCTTCAAAGAATGCGTGTCGCTGTTTGCTCAGTCTCAAGTTAATGATGAACTGTGTACAAGGAAGTTGTGTGTTAAGTTGTGTGGCTGATTTCTTCTCCTTTTTGTCTCCCCAGAGTGAGCAGCATCCCAGTGAGGCCCCTCCTGAGTGGTTCACCAGCTATTTGGAAAGGGTGAGTTCCTCTCCGCTCTTAGATTTCTATTTGTCTTTTCAGACCTTGGGGAAGGGGTCATTGGAGGGTTTCTCAAGCCAGACCATGAGAACCACAGATTTCCACACGCAAACACACACTTGTGCTTCCTTAACATGATGGAGCTTGGCCCGCAAGTTGAAATTTGACACCACGCTACATCAAATTGCAGTCTGGATAAATATCCAGTGCTTGGCTCATATTGTTAAGAGGGCACTTAGTTGATCTTAAGTGTTGTAATGGGTGGAGGAGTGCATATGGTAATCAAAAACATATAAATATGGTGATTGTCCTGGGTTTCATAACAATCTACAGTGGTACCTCGGGTTACATGCGCTTCAGGTTACATACGCTTCAGGTTACATACTCCGCTAACCCAGAAATAGTACCTTGGGTTAAGGACTTTGCTTCAGGATGAGAACAGAAATCGTGCTCCTGCGGCGCGGCGGCAGTGGGAGGCCCCATTAGCTAAAGTGGTGCTTCAGGTTAAGAACAGTTTCAGGTTAAGAACGGACCTCCGGAACGAATTAAGTACTTAACCCGAGGTACCACTGTATGTGTTTGTGGCCAATACTATTTTGTTGTCATCAACCTACGTATTGCTTCCCAATCCTAGCGTATCTCTGCATGCACCAGTTCTGGGACAGGGGAGCAGAGCGGAAGTACCTTTTAGAGAAAATCTAGGAGACTTTGCTTATGACACACCTCTTCCCCTTTCCAGTTCCGGGAGCAAGTGGTTCAAGAGACTGTTGAAATGCTTGAACAGAAGCTGAGCGAGAAGCTCCTCCTTTCTGGCCAGCTCCCCAGCTCCTTGAGCAGCACCACGCCCCACACCCCTGCAAGCCCCTCTGTGCAAGGAAACCCCTTTGACTGGCTTCTCTCATGCAGTAACTGTCAGGCCTCTATCGTGGGCATTCGCTACCAGTGCAGGTAGGACATGGGCAGAAGGGTGAAAATGCAAATCGTACAGCTGCGTTGGTTCTTTGTGTCCAGAATGTCCGAATTTGGCATCCAGAGACTCGAAGGGGAAAGCAAGGGAGGGTGTGTGTGTGTGTGTGTGTGTGTGTGTGTGTGTGTGTAAACAAAAAAAATTCCTTCCAGTAGCACCTTAAAGACCAACTAAGTTAGTTCTTGGTATGAGCTTTCGTGTGCATGCACACTTCTTCAGATACTTCACTTCAGTGTGTGTGTAGTTATGTAAAAAGTCAGAGTTCTAGTCCTTATGACCAAATTATCCAAGATAAATATTGGAAGCATGTTCTATGGATTGGGAGGGGAATGCAATGACCTTTAAATCCCCCTTTTCATCGGCACTTCTGCCCTTTTAACAAATTTGTTGTCTTCACCTGTTTGCCTTTCTTGGTTTTTTTATACTTTTAAAAAAATCTGCATTAAGAAAGGCAAATCAAGCTACATCAGCAAGTTGAGGAATTCTCTTACTGATGTCTGTCTCTTCCTGATGCTTCTTCATTTTGGCAACCGTGAAAGGGAGATGTAGACGACAACAGAGCTCAGCTGCATGGCTACTAAAAGACAAGAGCTTTGCTGTTTACCTCCACCACCATCGCCCGGTAGTAAAACTGGTTATCCTTCAGGGGTCAGTTTCTCTTCAACTTTCTGGGTCCTTTACCCACTCAGTTTCCCAGCCGCCAGCCTCCCATCCAAACTTATATTTCAGTTCCCTTTCAAAAGCTGCAGTGTTTTCAGAATCCTGTCGCTGGCACCTTCACACTAAGCCGTTAGAATGTTTGTGAACATGTCATGGCAATGCAAAAGCTCAGCCAATTGGGGGCGGGAAGGATGGTGGAATAGCTCACAAGCAAGGTAACGTTTTATGAGAAGTGAAATCTTTTAGCCTGCATGCTAACAGAAATAAAATTGCTTTTGTTTTATTTCAGGCTTTTCTCACATTTGTAATCACATCTTAACACAAATTGATCTAACCAGTTCAGTTAGTAAAAGATGAAAAAGCTGTTGGGTATCTCATAGCCTTTCCTCTCTTGACAGTGTGTGCCCATCCTATAGCATCTGTGAATCGTGTGAAACAGGGACATATGCCCACGACCCTAACCATGTACTTTTGAAGCTGAGGAAGCCAGTATTGTGTATCTCAGAGACGTATAATCTTGGGCAGTTCGCTCCTCGCTTTGCCACTCTGGAACAAGCCAGGTAAGTAGCCCATGCTCTGCAAACTGTGAGTCACCTTGGATTTGCCTACATACTTGGGGTGTGTGCTGGTAGTGGATAAGCACACAATTAAGAAAACCAGTAGAGGGGTACCCAGAGGCCTGCAGAAAAAGATTTGGTTCTAAGTTCAATCAGCATGTAAATTTCAGTTTCCACCTGGCATCCTGTATTCTATGGCTTTCTGTCTTCCAGCTTCTTTTGCCTACCTGTGTACAATATGCAAGGAATGCAATGTGCTGGGGGTTTTTTTAAGGCTCCCAGAGCAACTTAGAAATGTCAGTGACAAAGACAATCCCTGTTTTCAGACTTGCAGTCCAAACTGCCCAGCACAAAAGGAATAGGGAGGCAGGAGGATGCAGAACAATCAGCTGGAATTGAAATATTTTTAACTGAGAGGGGGAACTAAACATTGCTTTGTCTTCCCGTATTTCCTGATGAAATGGCTTCTAATGGAAGACAGTTGAGGGTAGGAGCCTGATGGAGCTGATATTACAACAGAGAGTTTGGAGAGGCCTGGCATTTCTTTCTCTTCCTCTGTCCAGTAGGCACCAAGGAGCCTACTGTGTAGAGCAGGCATGGTAAACCTGTAGCCCTCCAGAGATTATTGGACTCCCAACTCTCATTGTCCCTAACCACTGGCTTTGCTGGCTGGGGCTGATGGGAGTTAAAGTCCTACAAACATCTCAAGGGCCACAGGTTCCTTGCCTTTTGCGTAGAATTTTCATGTCCCCATTTGCAATGAGGTGCCCCACTGGCACCCGAGGGACCTTTGGATGTGACGCTCAGCCCAGCTGAAGGAAATGGCCTCGACAGCCACCGCCTGCCCCCCCCCAACAGCCTGGGTCTGGCTTTAGGTGTGCAGATCCTCCTGTAAGCAAACCAGTCTCTGCTTTTGACCTGCGCAGGCTTCAGAAACAGATGGACAAGCGCTTTCTGAAGGCGGAGAAGCAGCGCTTGCGAGCAGAGAAGAAGCAACGCAAAGCCGAGGTGCGGGAACTCAAGAAGCAGCTGAAGCTGCACCGGAAGATCCATCTGTGGAACTCTGTCCATGCTCTGGAAAACGCTGGCTTGACAGCTGCCAAATCAGAGAGCCTGCAGCCCAATACACTTCTGTAAGCAATCTGAGGACTGGGCCAAAATGGGGGAGGCAATTTTGTCTGCATGTTTGGAGCACTTCTAGGGGATGCTGCGCCCTAGCCAAGCTATGGGCTATTGTGAATCTCTGCAATGTTTCCAGCACTCGTAACTTATTTGACTCCCTGAACCCTGGGGTTATATGCAGTGGCGTAGCATGGGGGGTGCAGGGGGGGCCGGCCGCACCGGCCGCAACATCTGGGGGTTAGGGGGCGCAAATCCACGGGTTAGGGGGCGCAAATCCACGGGTTAGGGGGTGCAAATTACTTGCCTTGCCCCGGGTGCTGACAGCCCACGCTACGCCACTGGTTATATGCAAAGCAGCGCCAGCAGAGTTCTGCTAGCATAGTGGTGTTTGTTTCCTCTCCTACCCCCAACCCCCCTGCCCCAGTCTTGTGGAGCTGATCTTCAAGGCACTCATGGGGCTACAGCAGAGAGGAGGGGAAAGTTACTGTGTTTTTTGCTTCATAAGTTTTTAGAGGGGGAAAGCAAGAAAAAAAATATTCTGCGCAGAGCATGTAAGCGGCTCTCGCTTTTCTTGCTTTAAAGCAAGCAAAGCGAGAGCCACTTACATGGCTTCTCTCCCGCTTTGCGCAGCTCTCACTCTGCTTGCCCATCCCTCCTCCCGCCTCGCTGTAAAGCGCGGTGACGCCGGAGCAAGAGGAGGAGGAGGAGACACTGGGACAGGTGCTTTGCTTGCTTTACAGCGAGGCGGGAGGAGGGATGGGCAAGCAGAGTGAGAGCTGTGCAAAGCGGGACAGAAGCCATGTAAGTGGCTCTCGCTTTGCTTGCTCCCATCCGTCCCGCTTTGCTGTGAAGCCAGCAGAGCAAGAGCGATAGCTGCGCAGCCGCTCTTGTTCTGCTGGCTTCACAGCGAGCGACGGACGGGAGCCATGGCTCCGGCTGCGGAGGCATCCCTCAGCTCACGACCGCAGCGGTAGCCGTGGGATCCCTCTGCCGCCCAGTGCATTCGCTCCATAAGATGCACAGACATTTCCCCCTACTTTTTAGGAGGAAAAAGGTGCGTCTTATGGAGCGAAAAATACGGTACATTCCACTAGCACAAGTTGCTTGCACTTGCAGAGCAGATGCATTGGATAGCGCCCCCCGGGATTTATAAGTTGGGCTGCTGAGGATCCTCTGTTCAAGATCCCCAGTCCCTTCTTAGACCTACCTCTCAAGAACAAGTCAGCAATAGATTGCAGCTTAGAACTTCTGTTAAATGCAGATCCTTTAAACTTTAGATCTGCCTCCCATAAGCGGAGGGAGTGAACTTTCCTTCTCTCAGCTTGAGATAAGCAACTGTACTGACTTTCCCCTCTCTTTACAGTCCCCTCCAGGGCTGCCCAGTCATTGTCCCAACGCTGAGCGCTGCCTTTGTGGATGAGAACCTTCCTGACGGAACTCGCCTGCACCCAAGGACGACCTTCATCAAACACTGGCGCATGAGGAACACTGGCAACATGGAGTGGAGCTCTGACACTAAGGTGCGTTCCAGTGCTTAAGGTATGTGCTGGAGCTGAGATCTCCCTGCAAGCGATGCCCTAGTCCCCACAGTTTCTTCAGCCCAGATTTGTAGGTGCTGTTTTTGGTTACTCAGCAGCAACAGAAAGACACCCTGCAGAAGCACAACATACAGTGGACCCTCCGGATACGAACTTAATTCATTCCGGGGGTCTGTACGTACCCCAAAAAGTCGGCAACATGAGGCGCCGCTTCTGCGCATGCACGCGGCACAGAGTGCTTCTGCACAAGGTGTGCAGAGTGCTTTTGCGCATGCGCACGCAGTGAAACCGGAAAGTATACGCTTCTGGGTTTGCTGCCTTCGCAACCTGAAAGTTACGTAACCCAAAGGTAGCGTAACCCAAGGGTCCACTGTACTGCTTTCTTATTATTTCAAGGGTTCAGTACAGAGCCCTGTTGCCATCCTTTGCCTATCACTGCCTGTAAATTATTTGGGTGAGGACTTGGTTTAGATTCTCAGCCAGCCACCAACCGACATGGGGCATTGGCCAGACTCCTAAAGCTGCAAAGCCCAAAGTGCCTTTGTGTTCAGGGCTGGGGAACCTTTGTCCATCCTCTCCCCCCAATGTTGCTGGACTACAACTCCTATCATCCCTGACCATTGGCCATGATGGCTGGGGCTGGAGGGAATTATAGCCTAACAACTACAGTTTTCCCATCCCTGTCGTAGTTGTTCATTTTTGCTGCTGAGCAAATCCAAAGCCACAGGATTGATTTAAGAAACACAGTGAAAGCATTGGCAAGCAGATTTTTTGTTTCTTTGTGTGTGTGGAAGGCTCAGTAGGAGACCATGTGTCTGTCAAATAAAATTGCTCTAACTGTTCCCCACAGCGCACACATTGCTTCTGAACCCGTTCCAAACTTAACCTGCCCTAGGTGGGAACACCATTATTTTAAAAGATATCTGCCCACCCTCATTTATCAAGTTGACCTAAAACAATATGGGAACAGCCTTAGTCCCTCTGCCACCTTTGTTTGCCAGCCTTTCGGATTTTTTGTCTCCAAAGCTGTCTAGTTAATTCCTTAGAACAGACTTGAGGGGGAAGCTAGGTTTAAAAAAAAAATTTTTTTTTTGTTGCGGAAAGATACTTGCGGTGAATGAGGCTCCCTTCACATGCTTGGCTGGGACCAGGAAGAAGTTAATGGCCTTTTGTTTGTTTTTTCTCTGTCTCCATCTTCAGCTGAAATTCATGTGGGGGAACTTAACTCTGGTGTCCTCGGACAGGAAGGATGTCCTTGTGCCCTCCCTGCTGCCTGGGCAAGAGGGGGTTGTCTCTGTGGAGTTTGTAGCTCCTCCAATGGAAGGAACCTACACGTCTCATTGGCGGTTATCGCACAGAGGGGAGCAGTTTGGGCCCCGGATCTGGTGCAGCATTGTGGTAGATCCCTCCTGCAACACAGACTGCCCAGAGAATAGCAAACTGGTGTCCAGTTTTTCCCAGAAGGGCAGTTCCCATTGTAAGAAAGAGGTGAGGCCCTTATTTTATATCCCTGAGCCTGTGTAAGTTGTTGTTTTCCCCCCAGCTCTGCTTTCTGCTTACCACCTTCCCTTAGATCTTTCTCCTCAGGCCTCTGCTTCTCTGCTTTCTGCATATATATTTTCCCACTCCTTCCTTCAGCAACAAGGTGTATTCAAGTTCCTCGGCTAAATTAGCTCACTTTCCTCTTAAGACTTTTTGAATTATTGCCAACAAATCACTGCTGAAAGGGTCATTTGTATTTGCACTAATAATAGTATGTGGTGCACTATAATGTAGGTACCACTGTGTATATCATAAACTTTCATGTAACCACCTTCCTTCAGCCGCCATGCCTCCAGGCACCCCTATTCCTCTCTCTCTCTCATTTCAAATTAAACTTTTACAAACTTTAAAATATCCAATGACTTCCCTTCTTCTCCTTCCATGCTTCATATATTTAAAGAAGAGTGGGAAATATTTATTGAATACAGTGGTACCTCGGGTTACAGACGCTTCAGGTTACTGATGCTTCGGGTTACAAACTCTGCTAACCAGGAAGTGGTTGCTCCAAGTTAAGAACTTTGCCCCATGATAAGAACAGAAATCAGCAGGAGGCCACATTAGCAAAAGCACGCCTCAGGTTAAGAACCATTTCAGGTTAAGAACGGACCTCTGGAACGAATTAAGCTCTTAACCCAAGGTACCACTGTATATGGAAAATAAGATTAGAAAGTCTGAGTCAAGTCAGTGATGTCATAGCGGTTTAACCAATGGCAAGTTGGGCCTCCCAAGCAGCAGAGATAAGGCTTGTGACATCCATTTAGTAACTGTGTTCATATGTATACATGTCTGTGTTGCTTCTTTTTGGTCTCCCTTCTTCATCGAATTAAAAAAAACTCTCTTTGAGCAAAGAGTAGATAACAGTGGTGTGCACTGGCCCCACAAGGTTTAGTTCCTGTTGCCTCCAGGTGGGGGTGGGAATGACTTCTATTGCAAACCCTGAAGCCTGCCTGTGTAGGCAGCACTGCGGTAGTTAGACAGCTTCCCGTGTTCCTAAGAGGAGCATGAATGTAATTGAACAGATGTGAAAGATGTATCTTTTTCTGTGGGGAAAAAACAAACACTCTGTATCTTGCTTTCTATATGGTATTTATTCCACCAGCAGGATTTTACAAGATCCTGCAAACATTCTGTGCGGTCAGCTATAGAGAATTGAGAGGAAGGTCGTTAGTCCCTGTGATTCCTTTGGTCTCTTGGCACAGCCCATAATTAAGCATTTTGTATTTTTTTTTCACTGCACCCCTTTTGCCAGGAAGCTTAAGCAACAAAATGGAACTCTAGTGCCCAAGAAACTGTCCTGTATGTTGATGGCACAGTAAAAAGATGGAGTTTTTGTTTGCCCTAAGTTAGGATGAGGCTGCTCGCCTTAAGAGTCACCTCCGTGGTCCTTTCACTGTTTCTCTTTCTCCTTGTAGGAAAGACCCTCAAAGTTCAAGGGGCAAACTCTGCAAACTGCTGATGGTGCCACGACGGGAGGCGTGGCCGGCCGCGCTGCTCCACCAAAGCTGAAGAGCATCCTCAGCGCTAGAGAGTTCTACATCCCGTCAGTTGACCTGCTTACAGCTCAGGTAAAATGTCAGGTGCGAGCCAAGCTTGGAGGCGGGGCGAATTCACAGAAAATCTGTAATTCCGCATTTGTTCTGCCCTTCACCACCAAAGATTCTGCAGTGAGGCAAGGCTGTTTTCTCTTAAACTTAATAAAACTTGGTGTCTAGCTGACCAGGCGTGGCAGAGAGGGACGGAGATGGACTGTCGCTCTCTTTTTATCCCCTAACTTGAATGCTTTCGTTTCCTCCCTCCCTCCTAGGATCTGCTCTCCTTTGAACTGCTGGACATTAACATAGTGCAGGAACTGGAGCAGGTTCCACACAACACTCCTGGAGGTAAGCATCACCCCAACCCCAGGAGGCCTGTTGGTGGTAGTTGTGATGGGCATATCCTTGCCCCGTCTGCCCTAGAGATGCAGGTCTAGCACTCCATCCAGGGCCAGTAGGAGGAGCTGCCATCGCTGGGCACCTGTCGGGACCCGTGCTTCAGTAGGAACCCCTCTGTCAGTCCCCAGAGACTCCTGGTCCTGCTCCTTGCGGTTCTTGCTTGTTACCTGCCCCTTTCCGTGGTAGAGAAGAGACAAAGGAGACTTGTCTACTCAGAGCTTTTCACCAATAGGTCCCAAGCTTCCACCAACCTGGAACTGGCACTAGCTCCTCTGAAGACCAGGGCAGGTTCTTTTGGCAATTCCCTCTTGTATTGCCGCAGCTGCATCTTAGGTCGTCTGTGCCGCTTTGAAGCTGTGCTGAGGACTGTACCCCGATTTTGGCTTGCCTGTGGGCCATCATTTGCTTGCCTTGGACTCCCTGGTTGCTTTGCCTGAGCAGATACCATTTAGGATTTTTATAGTTCTGTCCGAGACTGCCGGCCAGTCGAATCATGGGCGCCCAAAGGCGATGAATTTGTAACCCCTTCTGGCTTAACTCTGAGCTGTGTTGCCATACTGAGCATGTGGGGTGCATTTCGTTTGCCACTAAGTAATTAAAGGAAATCCCTATCACTTTCTGCCTATTTGGAACAGTTCCAGGCAGGTTTGAGTTCCTGCACCTGCACAACACTTGAGGCAGTCCACAAAAATAGTTTTGGGAATCTCAGGAGCAGGTTCCTGTTCCTTCAGGTGGCATCTTGCTCTTCCAGACATGACTTGGTGCATGTCACCGCTGTCCCATGACAGTTCCTTGCTGGAGAAGGCTGGCTGGGACCAGATACAGGAGGAGAGCAGGGCGAGCACATGTAAATTTGAAGCCTGAAATGGTGTGTTACATTTATTCTAGTTACAGGAAGGGACAATAAGCTACAGTGGTGCCCCGCAAGACGAATGCCTCGCAAGACGAAAAACTCGCTAGACGAAAGGGTTTTCCGTTTTTTGAGTCATTCCGCAAGACGAATTTCCATATGGGCTTGCTTCGCAAGACGAAATGTCTTGCGAGTTCTTGCGAGTTTGTTTCCTTTTTCTTAAAGCCGCTAAGCCGTTAATAGCCGCTAAGCCGTTAATAGCCGCTAAGCCGCTAACAGCCGTGCTTCGCAAGACGAAAAAACCGCAAGACAAAGAGACTCGCGGAACGGATTAATTTCGTCTTGCGAGGCACCACTGTACGCTTCATCCACTGCCAGACTAGAAGGTCTTACTTAGCCTGTCTTGTGTCTCTGAGATTTCACCAGGCTCAAGCAATTTGAAGCCTATTTCAGCACTTCCTTAAGTCCTAAAAGCATATGTATTTTTCAAAAATGAAAGCTGAGATTCTTAGAATGCTGAAATCCGCACCCAGTAATAAATTGTGCCCTTGCTTAGTTGTGTTCATTTGTTATTTTGAAATAATGGACCTTCCCAATTATCTGGTGATCTGAACTGCATTGGGCTCCCATTGTTTCAAGTCTCTGTATAATAATTTGGGTTGGTTACTGAGGATGAAGATCAAGCCCCCAGCTTCTAGGGCTGCTTGAGTTCTAAAACTTGCGGCGAGTGCTGATGAGAACATTGCGTCCTACAGATGCCCAGGCAGGGAAAGGGAAGGCTGAGAATCCGGCTAACTCCGAGGAAGGAGAGGAAGACATGAGTGGGACCCAGTTTGTTTGTGAAACAGTAATTCGTTCTCTCACCTTGGATGCTGCGCCTGACCACAGGCCCCCACAGAGGAAGGAATCGTTGCAGAGTGAGTGTTTAATTTGTCATCCTGCTGAGCGCATTACATGTACAGAAAAAGCTTAAGCCCATCTCGCATTTTGATCGGCTCCTGTGTTTTTGTTGATTTAGGTTCTCTACAAGCACTACAGGACAATGCCCACTGCAGCCCAAACAAGGACCCTGTTAGGATAGAAAATGATCCTTCTCCAACACTACAGGAACCAGAGTCCAAGAATCAAGGCATGGAGGGGGCCCAAGAACCTGAGTTTGGTAAGGAGAAGTGGCTAGAGTTTGCTTCTTTGAAAGAGAGACCAGGACTGACGGTATCAGTCTCTCTGCCCCATGGGTGGAAAAAGCTTATAATAGATCCCCATGCTCATGAAGGATAAATTCAAACTGAAATAAGTTCAAAGAAGAGCATGATAGTGGGGGTGGTGAAACCTTTCTTAGGAGCCAAGATTAAGAGCTCTTCCATTAAACCTGGATCAGGTTTAAGGTGCTGGTTTTAACCTTTAAAGCCCTATACGGCCTAGGACCCTCGTACCTATGGGACCGCCTCTCCTGGTATGTCCCACGGAGGACCATACGGTCTTCAAACAAAAACATCTTGGAGGTCCCGGGCTACAGGGAGGTTAGGCTGGCCTCAACCAGAGCCAGGGCTTTTTCGGCTGTGGCTCCGATCTGGTGGAACGCTCTGCCACAAGAGACTAGGGCCCTGCGGGACTTGACATCTTTCCACAGGGCCTGCAAGACAGAGCTGTTCCACCAAGCCTTTGGCCAAGGCACAACCTGACCCCCTCCTTTGGTAATTCTTCACACAACTCTAGCCCAATGATTGCCATCAATTTGATTTGAACTGATTTTAGAATGAATTGATTTTAGAATGCTGTATTTATTTTACTGTTGTTAGCCGCTCTGAGCCCAGTTTCGGCTGGGGAGGGCGGGATATAAATAAAATTTTATTATTATTACTATTTTATGTCTCCCAGCTTCTGTTTGCAGCTCTGCATTGCTTAGGCTGATCTATGGAAGTGAGCTATAGGCGACAGGACTGTACTTTTTATTGTTTTTCAGCCGCACGAAAAGGCTTTTGTGGAGAATATCTTATTTTTATGGTGCCCAATAGGACAAAGCAAATTACGTTGAGGAAAAGATTCCTGCATTGCAGGGGGTTGGATCAATAGAAAGGGGCTGCAGTAGTCTTTGTAATCAAATTGTTCCACTGCTTCTCCTAGAGGAACTCCTGCTGCAAGACGGGGCGGAATCGAGTGATGGAGAGACCGAGGATGATGCCAAGGATGAAGTCTGCAGCCAAGCATCCTCTACCTCCTCTGAGGATTACATCATCATCCTCCCAGAGTGTTTTGACACCAGCCGCCCTCTAGGCGAGTCCATGTACAGTTCTGCACTCTCTCAGCCCAGCTTGGAAAAAGTGGCCGAGGCCTCGGCAAGCCCTGCGGGAGAGAACCAGCCCTCAGCTCACAGTATCAACGACATGCTAACCACCTCGCAGACACTGGACGAGGTGCCTCTGACCCCTCAGATCCTGGAACCACAGCCTTCAAGGTACCAAGTGGACCCGGAGCCAAAGTATGACTTCTTTGTCTCTGTAGTCATAAGCAACCTTCAGAAGGAGATAAAAAAGGGGGTCGGCTGCTGAGTTTGGGCCTAGTGTTCCAGCCAAGCAAAGCACAAAAATCCAAATTCAGGCGGAACTAAGTAGGGTGTGTTACTAGGGAAATGGCTTGAATGTGTAGCGTAGCTCAGGCTTGGTGGGTGTGCTTTTTCTACAGTTTCTGGCTACTACACCTTCCCACATGCCTGCTTTTCTTCCATTTTTTAACAATAGATCTCTGGCCCCTCCCCAAAACAACAGCTCCCAAGAAACAAGTGTTCCCAGTGGAGAGGACGCCTCTTGGTGGGTTCCAGACCAAACCAGAGAAGGTACTGTGCTATGATTTACAGGCTGGTAATCGGTTAGCAACTGCTCCTGACTCAAATCATTAGTTTTACAGCCCACCCTCTTCCAGAGCCTCAAGGTGGGTGGTGGCAAATCAATGAAAGGTGCTGCTTTCATTAAATAGATTCAATGAAGGGTAATGCTGTTCCCCATTAAATCTCTCTGATAGTCGCAAGTTGGTTCTTTCCTGCCAGTTCCTGCTCTCAAGCTCCCAAATATCTCTCTTGTAGTGGTCCAAGGAGCAGATGTTCCTGAACCTCCGCCTGCAGGGAATGTACATAGCACACCAACATGTCCAGAGTTCTCCAGGTAACAAAAGCTGGGTCAGGCTGGGATTTTGTTGTGATCCGGTTGGCAAGTGGTATCTGTCCTATTTTTCGTTGAAAAATAAGTGTCTGTCTGTGTATGCTTTGAGATCCCTTCCCACTCCTACCCAAAATGCCCACTGACAGCTGTGTAAACTTAATTTATGCTAGGCAAGGTGTGCTCATTGAGTTGCAAACTGCACCGTGCAAGTACGTAGGCTGGCAGTGACATTTTTATGAGAGATGTCTGTTGTTCATAAGTGGACTTGTACCAGTAGCAAATAGATTGGTATTATCTGACTATCTTTTTTGGTTTTACCTGCCTTGTTTCTTTCCTTGCATCTTATTGCTGTTTTGTTGTATTTGTATTATTGTTAGTCTCCCCTGAGCACCATTTTGGTAGAAAGGCAGAATTGAAATTTAACAAATAAAAATTTGGCCCATAGTGGGAATTCAGCAACTTGAACACAATAGTTTTTGTTTTTTTAATAAGGCGCAAGCTTCTAGCTAATATGGCTGCTAGGATGGGCATGAAAATGAATGGGAAATGCCTTGTGACATCTCAGAGAGGACGATTACTTCTTTTCATTTAATACCCAACCCCTTTTCTCTAGAACTTTTAATCTGGCATACAAAGGGTTCCTGGGCACTTGTTCCATCCAGACATAAAACCTTTAGCAAGGTTTCTGTATTGTATTCATTCTGTGGAATCTCCATGTAAAAGAGGCACGAGTATCAGGGTTGGAGATCTGCTGCCATTCTAAGTACAGAGGAACCTCGTGTTATGGACAGGATCCGTTCTGGAGGCCCGTCCGTAACATGGAACTGACGCGAGCCGAAGCGCCGTGTCTGCGCATGTGCGCAGCGCGATTTAGCGCTTCTGCGTGAGCGGCAAAACCCAGAAGTAACTCTTTCCAGTACTTCCGGTTGCCGCAGTACGCAAGACAAAAACTCGTAACCTGAAGTGGACGCAACATGAGGTATGACTGTAGATTATATCGATCTAGATGGACCACCTGCCAACCTAAGCAGTTCGAAAGCATGTCAAAGTGCAAGTAGATAAATAGGTACCACTCCGGTGGGAAGGTAAACGGTGTTTCCGTGTGCTGCTCTGGTTCACCAGAAGCGGCTTAGTCATGCTTGCCACATGACCCGGAAGCTGTCTGTGGACAAACGCTGGCTCCCTCGGCCTATAGAGCGAGATGAGCGCCGCAACCCCAGAGTCGTCTGCATCTGGACCTAATGGTCAGGGGTACCTTTACCTTTAGATGAACCACTAGGCTTATTTGGTATAACACACTGTCAAATGCTGGTAAAGTCACAGGATCATGGTTTTCTTAGTACAGAATATTTATTTATTTAGGCTCAGGCACAGAAGACAGAAATCCTCCCTTTTAGCATTCTCTTTTCCTGAAAGGTTTGGCCCAAGCAGTGCATCCCATTTTCCTTACCGTTAAGCCAAACCCTAGCATGTGCCCCGTTAAGACACCCCGCTCGGTTCTTTTACTTTTGTTATTTATGTCCTTTAATTGCAACTTAACTCTGCAGGCACACCCATGGGAACAGCCTCGCTGGTGACCTCGTGAAAGGGGCCTTGTCAGTGGCTGCCTCTGCTTACAAGGCGCTGTTTGCTGGACCGCCCACCGTGGAGCAGGTAGGCAGCTCCTTGGGATGATAATGCTCCCCCTGGAATGGGCAAGAAAGGGATTGGAGCAGAGTTTGCATATTTTGTCTCTCCACAGCCACGCTGCAAGTACAAATTTGGTGTTATGTTCACGTGAAAACAGGCTTCTAGCTTTTGTGGCTGCAAAATGAACTTGAGAACATGTGGCACCAGGGATTGTTATGTCCAGGAGCTGGCCACCAGATAAATATTTCACGTTTAAATGTTGCTTGGGATGACAAGAAGGCGTACGTCCCCGTAGTCGGATTAGACTTCCTCTGATGGAAACCTGGACAGAAAATAGGGAAGTTTGTTGTTGGGCAGGTAGGTGAAGAGGTCAATTGCTGGTGTCTCAAATCAGCACTGGATGGCTCAAAAGACTCTGGGTTTGATGCTCTGATCTCCAGAAAGTTGAAAGCTCAACCTTGTAGTTGTGGATTCCTTGGAAGCCGTGGGCTATCAGGAAAAGCAAGGAGGAGGGTAGCTTCCTAAAACAAGGATTGGGATCTTGCACTCCCTTGAATGCTCACATGGGCCTTGCCCATCTGGAGAAGCCATTTTGAAATGGCTTTGAAAGACCTGCATCATCACACAGATGGCCCTTGGCTCCAGCAAGTTGGTGCTGTGTATCATTTCATTGGGACAGTCACCTGCCTTGTTCTGTCAGACTGCAGCCATGAGCTGCTTTGTTCTTTGGACTAGTTGCCACTAGCCTCCTGTGTCTCACCATTCTCCAGAACCAGAGCGGAAAACCTTACTTGCTCCCATTGCATTCTGGTTGACTGGTGCTCTCTCTTCACTTTGACGACAGCTGGGCAGTGGGAGAAGCAAGCACACGCAGTCCTCCGTCCTGTTAAAAATTAATAGATAGCGATTGGGAAAGGAACTTGGCTGTGTGAGCAAAGGTGGAGCTACCTTCCCACCCGCTCTATGCAGTCAGAAAGGAGAGGAGATGGGGAGGGTAGAAAATGTCTTGTCATACCTGTAGTTGGCAGCAAGGATTCCAGAAATCCCTTAAATCGCAAAGGTAAAGGACCCCTGACAGTTAAGTCCAGTCACAGACGTCTCTGGGGTTGCGGCACTTGTCTCGCATGACAGGCCGAGGCAGCCGGCATTTGTCCGCAGACAGTTTTTCTGGGTCAAGCGGCCAGCATGATTAAGCCGCTTCTGGCACAATGGAACACCGAAACCAGAGCAGCGTGCAGAAACGCCGTTTACCTTCCCGCCAGAGCGGTACCTATTTATCTACTTGCACTTTTTGATGTGCTTTTGAACTGCTAGGTTGGCAGGAGCTGGGACCAAGTAACAGAAACTCACCCCGTCACAGGGATTCCAAGTCCCAACCTTCTGATCGGCAAGCCCAGGAGGCTCAGTGGTATAGACTACAGCGTCACCCGCGTCCCTCCTAGTGCTGCAGAAATAGGCAGGATCAAAATGGAGGTGGTAGCTTCACCCACCAGAGTGATGTGAAAGCCTTCTGTTATTGAAATGCTGCCGACTGTGGAGTGAGTGGGAAGAGGAACCCATATATTTTGTCCGTTGTGAAGATAAAATAATGGGGGGAAATGGGTTTCCTGAAGGAAAGGTGGGATATGAATTTAATTAATAATTGGCAAGATACAGTGGTGCCTCGCAAGACGAAATTAATTCGTTCCGTGAGTTTTGTCGTCTTGCGATTTTTTTTGTCTTGCGAAGCACGGTGTCGGGAAAGTTTTGGAAAAGCTTCAAAAATACCAAAGTCTTTAAAAACCTCAAAAAGGCTACCACACCGCGTTCTAGGAGTTGCTCCTCGAAGTCAAGTCGCAACTGTATTAACGGTGTTAAGAAAAAGGAAACAAACTTGCAAGACGTTTCCGTCTTGCGAAGCAAGCCCATAGGGAAAAATCGTCTTGCGAAGCAGCTCAAAAAACAAAAAACCCTTTCGTCTTGCGAGTTTTTTGTCTTGCGAGGCATTCGTCTTGCGAGGTACCACTGTACCATCCTCTCCTGTGGGAGGTGGGGATTTATTTCATGGGTACAGATTGGGAAAAGCATTGGCAGAAAACCCTAGATGTAAGCATGCACGTTTCCTTGTTTTGATCGTTCTCCTCCTTCCATCCTTCAAGGCTCTTCCTGTGGCCACCGAGGAGCAAATGAACCCCTTCCTAGCCAACCTGAGCGAGATGGGCTTCTGCGACAGGCACCTTAACCTCAGGCTGCTACGGAAACACAACTGTGATATTTCCCAAGTTGTCACTGAGTTGCTGCAGCTGAGTCACAGCGATTGGTACGAAAACCAGTATTGAACCTTTCTCCTCACTGTGCTCATTAAAACCTGAGCAGTAAATGGCACCAGCAGCTTCCAGCTCCCTTCTGTTCCAGCACAGCAGAGATGGCTTGGCTTCTGTTTCCCATTGCATCATGGTTCGTCACCACCACGACCACCAGTATCCAATGACTCGGGCACTAGGATTTCTTTAAAACACTAAGGTTCCTTCCCCCAACTGGTATAATTCCAGATTTTGTTGTAGTAAAAAGAGGTGAATGTACACACGAAATACAAGTGAGCTGTGTTCCTAAGAATTTTAGGGCTTTCGTTCCTGAGCGGCAAGCAAGTAAGAACCAGAGACTTGAGGGGCCTTCCTGTATTGTTCCTGCCTATCTGCCCATCTCCATCCAGCGGTGGAGCTAAACTAAAGACCAGCTTTTCCACATTCTGTCCTCTCATGAAGGCGGTGGGTGGAGCCCTTTGTCCTCTAGTTTTGGAATCATCCTGCATTTTGTTGGAGCAATAATTCCACCAGCATTTTCATGTTGTGTTTTGCAGACGCTACCTTAAAATGCATTCGTCATAGTCTAGCTGTTGGCGTTCTTGGCCAGTCCCGTCAAAACCTAAATGCTGCTGTTTGCTGTTAGTTACTGGGAGTGAAATAGACTATGAAAGGAGCAAAGTCGGTAGCAAGACTGGGTGGGTGGTTCGCCATAAAAATACCAAAACAAAGAGCAGTTGCTCCTCCTGTGTAAATCTTTAGAGGTATTATTAATAGCTATTATAACTTAAGTATTTGATTGACACATGGTCAAGACGTGCTTGGTGGGGGAAACGACACAAAACTATTTTTGTAGACCCATTCCTCCTGTTTAGATGAATAGACTCTCACATACAAGATTTCTGTCCCACCCTGCCCAGCCAATGGACCAATTTTTTGGGGGGGGGGGGAATGCACAGTTTTTAACAAACGTTGATTCAATTTAAACATGCTAATAAAGCCCTTAAATATGCATTTGCATAATATTGAGCATAAAAGAACATGAGGAAATGCTGAATCAGAGATGGCATTATGGGAGGAAGTTTCCTCCATCCCATCAGGAAAAAGAGACTGAAGAAAGTTCTGCCCAAAGCCCATTGAATAAACAGGATGTGTACCCATTCCAACTGGATTATTTAGCTCTCAGGTGCTCCTTTTTCAAACAATATAAAAAGAATGGCTGCTATCATTTAAAAAAGACACAGCTACCCTCGGAGATGTGGCTGAACCCATACCTGTTTTTTTGTGCGGTGGGGTAAACACAGGTTGGTTTTTTCCTGTGACTTTGGGCTAATATGATTGGGAGGGAAAATTCAGAAATGATGGAAGCGATTAAGACCCCTTTTTGCTTTAGAAGAGGGAAAATGAAACGAAACACCTACTTCTGCAGTGCACTGCCTTTCCCCACCCTCATTTAACTTGTGCATGGAAAGCTACATATCTCTGATCAGAGATCTCCAGATTAGGACTTACTTTGCTTTGGGTTGATGGGTGAGAATCTTGGTATTCCTAGGTAGATCATATTGTTTGACTTGAATTAATTCTATTGCTACCAATCCTGTTGGCAAACCTCTTGTTAACCCTGGTAGAAATATCTTTCTTTTTAGGTTTCATAAAAGCTGAACTTTTCTTTCATTGGCTTCATAATATTTTATGAGAGGGGTGCATGGATGATAATTTTAAAAAGTGCAAATATTATGATCTTTGTATATTGCTTAGAATAAACACTTTGAACAGTCTTTGGGGTGTGACAAATGTTAAAATAAAGTATACATTAAATAAGCAGCCTTGCGTTTATGAAAATAAAACCAGCTCACCAAACGTTCCTTGCTGGGTGGGGTTTATGAGGGAAACCATTCTTAACCTTATTTCGAGAAAAGGAACTTCCACTGAAATGAAACATTTCAAGTAAAATTGGGGTGGCAGGGCTTCTTGAGTGAGGCACACTTGTTTATATTCAGTGGCAGTAGGTCTAGTGCTTTTTTTCAGCTGGGGTGCATTTCTGGCACCTCTCAGGTGGGTGCCATTGAGGCCTGGCACCCCCCACCCCCACCCGATTCTCCTTCTAAGAAGTCCAAAAAACAAACATTTCAAATCAAAATGGAAGCTGGCCAGCATGGGCGAGTCTACAATTTTTTTATCTACGACTTCACCTAGCTCCTAGCTGCATTTGGTCAAGCTATATGGCAGGGCCAATTCGTATTTCCTTTTCTTCAGACAAGGGTCCTTCCAAGCTGCCCTAGCTATCCGTCTGAACCTAAGAGGAGAGAAGCAGGGGAACATTTGACCAGCACCAGAACCAGAGGCAACCCCTAAACCAGTTAAAGGGACAGCTTGCATTGGTTTTTAGCACCTCCCCGGGCACTGAATACAGCTGTTCTCAAACTGGCATTTGTTCAGGGCTGTCCCAAGTCACCCGGCAACTTACTGTAGTGGTAGTAGTAATAGGAATAATAATAATAAATTAATTTTATATTTATACCCCGCCCATCTGGCTGGCTTTCCCATAACAACTTCATAGTGAGTTCTGGCACCTATTTTTCTGGGGGGGGGGGACATGGAGTAGGTATGAGGATTTGTTTACAAGAAAACAACATTACACTGAACAAGCGTCGTATAAAAGGTTGCCTCTCCCCTTGCCACCAGAGGTGCTAAGATAATTTAAGTGCTGCCTAAATGCATGGCACTCTGTTGTTTTGCTCAAGCCCAGCACCCCTGAACCCAGAGCCAGAGGTCTGTGGGAGCTCTGTACATGAACATGTGTCTCGGGAAACAGCAGTGGGAATACTTTTCAAGTGATGTATCCCTGGGTTTTTTAAGAGAGCTTCTGAAACTTCTCTCTTTAAAAAAAAAAACAACCACACAAAAACTCAGCAGATTGTTTGCTAGATGCACAATCCACTGTTGAAAAGAAGTGGGGAAAGCACAACAGTCAACAAACTAAGCAAACTGCTTCAAATATCTTCAAGGGTTGATGGCCAAACCTGGCCCGCCAGATGTTTTGGGACTACAATTATCCCTGGCCACTGGCCCTGTTTAGCTAGGTATGGTGGGAGTTGTAGTCCCAAAAACATCTGGATGGCCAAGTTTGGCCATGTCTGACTGTCTTAAGCAAACCAAGGGACAGTTTTTATAGCACAAGTGTTTAATAATTAGCTGGCTCTTTGATGGGGAGAACAGAGACTTAACCACATAAAGAGCTTCTTATATTTCTGTCGGTGGCAGCGAGGTAACCAGATGCACACAACTGGAAGAGTTTGGGCAGTTTACCAAGAGCAACGATAAATTTGGTCCATTGCTCCGATGGAGAAACTTGCCAAACGAACGCAGGCTTCAAAGGGACAACAAAAACAATTATTTTATTGAGATTTGGTACACGTTTATTGGTAAGCCTAGTTTACAACTGCCAGGCACACGTAGTAATCTTTGGCAAATGTTATTAACTCTTGCATTATTATTATTTTCAGGAGCAGGGGGGTGG